TAAAACTGTATACATTTCTGAAGAGAAAATAAGTAGCAAATCACTAATCACAGCAACAATTAAATTGCTTTGAATTGCACAAGGTAATACCTGGTAGGTCTGGAGCCCTTGTATCCCTCAGTCAAACGTGATTGAAATTTACTCACATATCCAAAAAGAATTTGGGAGCAAGAGAAATGCCATGTAAAGTTCTGTGAAAAAAATGCTTAAATTTAAAATGCTTATAGCTATCAGAGTTGCTCACTATTTATACTTGAAAGGTATGTGACATATTTCTCCTTCAGGCAAAGTGACAAGAGTATTATGAGTGAGTTCTGGTGACCAGGTTTGTATCAAAGGCAGTAGTGGGCTACCTGGACCTTTGGTTCTTGTGCCCTTGTGATCATTTTTCTATTGAGCTGTAGAATTAAGTCTAGTCATTTAATTTCTTTGACCTTCAGTTTCCCTGTTAGTAAAATGGAGATAATGCAACTTAACCAACTTTGAGAGAAGTGTGAAGAGGGATGTATGGATTCTTAGTACTGTTACTAGTATTTTATTATTTCAGTTTTCTATTCCCCAAGAAAAAAGACATCCTGTATTAATTTGGGATGATTCATAGCGAATTTTCAAACCTGTAACTACACAGTATCAATAAATCATAAAGTAGGTAATTCTTCTCATAATTCTTTGTAGAGGGTTATAAATTCATGTTTACTTGAAGAATGGTAAGCGTATTCTACCATAGAAGAGCTGTATTTATATAATTTATTTTACAGAAAAAAGTAACTTTTACTGATTGGCTACAACTTTGCAAAATAATAAGTATTTAAATCTTCAGTCTTAGCCCTCCAGTTATACCTCTTTCCAGTGTGGTTTCCATAAAAATAATAAGCTGTGTTGTCATTGCTATGCCTCCTGTCAGTATCTCCTGCCTGGTCAAGTGTGTGTTCATCAAGGTTCTTGTCTTGTTGATAATGTGACTGCTGTAGCGTTGTGGTGGCTTCTGTCAGATAATGCAGCTGTCTTGAACTCCCACATATGAGAAAAAAATACAGCTATACGCCTTTGAAGAACTCTTTTAAAATGTGTTTCTAATTAGATACATATAATAGAGAGTACCAGAGGGATTTGTTCATTGTCACAGACCTTCAGAGCTGAATTTCCACAACAATTTGCTGAAGCACATAGACAACAAGAGGCATTTATGACTGCATGTGATCCAGAGATAAGAGATGTGCTAGATCTGAAGCATCTGAAATAAGAAGCAGTGGGCAGCAGAAGCATCCTTGTATTTCAGGATAATTATACTCAGTGTTTATCCGCACAATTCAGGCGGCAAACACTTAATATAACATTTCAAAAGGAAGCAGTTTAAAACATACTTTTAAAAGACATTTTTAAACCTTATCTGTAGTCCAATAACAGCAGATGCTTTTTAAAAGAGTGTATCTAAAAGTCAGATAAATTTGTCATTTTTTTGGTGATAGACTACACAGTGGAAAAAAGAAATTTCACTTTTTCATGTAAGCATAAGGCTCTCTGCCGGCACAAGCAGCTCCAAAGTGCCTTGGCGTGCTCTGCTGGATGTGCTGTGCACTGGAGCTTTTTAATCAGCTGATGCTTACATGCAATGTGACAAGTTGTGCCATGAACAGACGATTTAATGAAACCTAGTTTCCAGTGGCTCTCTCCCGCATTTTTTTCCCCTTCATGTTAACTGATAAAAGATGATCTTGTAAGTCTTTCTCTAATAGAGTATCTTTTCCCATTTGTAGGCCTATTTTCCTGAAACTTTTGTGAAAAAATATCTTTGAATATTCTAGCCCTTTGGCCAGTTTGCTTAAAATTGTTCAGGAGCACAGAAGTTATTTCAAGGGAACAGATATCGCACGTGGATATTACTGCTCAAGTCTCATTTCTTTGGGAAACCAGTCTAAATGCAGTATTTAATATTTTCACTATAAGAAATCCAATTATCTTCATGTGTCAGAAGGAATACTTGTATTAACTCCATCAGAATATATGTATACTTGTATATTACATTAAAGTATTAAAATAATTGGCAAAATCCAGCAAGTTAAAATGCTGCAAAGTTAGAAAAAAATGCCAAATTAAGGTTATTGAATCTAAATTAATGTTTCCTTCTCTTGTTCTGGTAGTTATAACTCTCCATGTTACATGTGAAGCCAGGTGCACCATGAGCAAGCTACAGGAAAATGAAATGCTCAATATACCTAATGTCTTAGTGTTGGGTTTTTTAAAAAAATGAGTGTGTTAAGACCATGCATCTGAATTAAGTTCCTATGTTCCAAAGTTTTATGAGCAGCCTACGCTCAAAAAGCAGAGGTGCATTAGAGAGGTCATGAAATCTCCATCCCTGGAGATATCCAGACCTCAACTGGACAAATCCCTGCACAATTTGATCTATGCTGGTCTTGCTTTGAGCAGAGATTGGACCAGGTAAGCTCCACAGGGTCCCTCCTGACTTAAATCTATGAGCTGTGACCAGATCTATGGACCAGAAAAAGCTATCCTATAAAGTATATGTAATCTGTATGCTTTAAATTACGTAAAATTCCTTCTGGGTAAAGCAATTCAAACCTTTAAAACTGTGTTAGCTTCCATTAGATCAAAAGATTATTTATCATAATTCCAACTGTGTTAGCTTCCATTAGATCAAAAGAATATTTATCATAATTCTTTAAAATCTGTACATTGTCTACCTAATAGCTAGGCTGGTTGGCAATTATTTGGTTATCTATAAAAATAAGAAATTGGAACAGGCCTAAATTTTAGTCATGTTGGATATAGTCTCACTTTAGATTTCTTGAGAAAGGATGGACTTGTATTATTTTCACAGTATCTAGAAGACTAAGTAGAAAATGGCATGTTGAATGATAGACAATCTGATGCAAAACAGCACTTCCAAGAGAAATGCAAGAAGAATCCTACATAGGTTGTTACTGAATTTAGAGAATGAGATTGTCATTCATGACAAAGAGTGGTTTGTTGTATATTTTTTGTAAGGGATGGATAGTGTACCGTCTAAAATATTGTCTGCTTATTCAGAAGGTGATATAATACAGAGGTGTGCAGAAAACAGTGTTTCCTGATTTGGAAAAGTAGTTTAACAAAATTTAATCAGTACAGTTTGGAGAAAAGACAACAAAACAAGAAGAGTAAGTCTGTAAATACTTGAGAGAAATGGATTGGTGATATAAAAGGAGGAAACAGCCCTCAGCTATAACAGGTAGGGAATAGTGTCATGTCTCTGTCATATTTCACACATATGCAGTGCCATCGGTCTGTGGGATGAAATTAGCAAACGTGCAGAATTGAAATGTGAACAACTAGAGGATAGCTACAACAGCCATTAGAAAAACAGTTGTAGATCCTAAGGTTTAGTAGATGATGGAATAATTTGTCAAGAGAAGTTCTCAAGCACAAGCAGTAGATAAGAGTAGCAACAGCAGGTCAAACTTTATTATACAAGATCCTCCAACATTACAGCAGGGATATGTAATTTCCAGTCCTAGCACATAAGGTCTTATGAATACAAAAAAGAAGCAAAGTAGTGGACAGAAGGAGAGAAAACATGTACTCCATTACTTACACCAGATATGTGAATAAGAAGTTTGGCAACCACCAATGAACAGATATTGCTTAAGCATGAATACTTCTCCAATATACTGTAAAAGAAAAGAAAACAAAACAAAAACAAACAAACAAAAAACCCCAAAGAAATTGGCCATTTAAAATACAGTCTACCCCTGAGGGTGCTGAATAATTATGAACGAGGCTTTGGAATGTCACAAAATATATTGATAGAGGCAGCTGTCATGACCAAATCCCTCCATACTTTGCAGAAGTACTGCAAAATAACTTATAAATTGTTTTAGTTTCTTGACACTAAATCCAAAGTGTTGCAGAATCCAGTGACTACTTCAATTAGACTTTGTTATTTAGTAAGTTATATTTGAATAACCATTTGAATAAACAGCTCTGCACTTCTCACATATAATTGATATTACATGCCTCTCTTGATATTGCAGTATTCCCCATTTGAACATGTTGTGGTTTAACCTGGGAGGCAGCTAAACCCCCCCCAGCCATTTGCTCACTCCCACCCCTGCGGCGGGATGGGAGAGAATCAGGGGGGAAAAAAGTAAAATTTGTGGGTTGAGATAAAGACAGTTTAATAGGGCAGAAAAGGAAGGAAAAAAAAATAATAATGATGATAAAAGAATATACAAAATAAGTGATATACAATGCAGTTGCTCACCACCCGCCAAACGATGCCCAGCCAGTTCCCAAGCAGTGGTCACCGCCCTCCGGCCAGCTTTCCCACAGTTTATGTACTGAGCATGATGTCATATGGTATGGAATATCCCTTTGGCCAGTTTGGCTCAGCTGTCCTGGCTGTGCC